GCGGCGGGGGTCCCGGGGGCAAGAGCGCTCCCGGGCCGGGCGGCGCTCTGCCCACCTGTCCGGCCTGCCACAAGGTGCGTGCATGCCCGCCCTTAGGGGGATGATGAGGACTGGAAGAGGCCATCCTGATTTTGCGCCCAAGCCCGTACTTATGTCTGCACCCTAAGGCCCCACTCCTGGCCCCCATCTGGGACCCCAAGTCTGTCCCCAGTTCTCAGCTCGCATCCCCAGGCCTTATCCCGGCGTCCCAAGCCCGCATCCCAAACATTAGTTGCCCACCCTCTGCGTGACCCTTTGGGTTGCGACAGGGTAGCGAGCCAGAGTTTCTGGCCTCTTTGTCCTGTTTCACATAATTTCTGGAAAGGCGATAAAGCCTTTGTCCCCTTAATCGGGCTCTTGGGTGACAGATAACAGTACATTGTGTCGCCTTGGTTTCTCCAAATCTGGTGTTTATTACCAGAAAAGGAAGGATTCTGTCCGTGTCAGAAGTCAGGGCGAGATGGGGCTGAGAAGGCGCTAGAACCTTGTTTGCCACAGGGCCTGGTCCCTGCTGCTGGGCCTGTCGGGCACAGGTGTCCGCGGCGGGCGTGCACGCAGGTCGTGGCAGGTTCGCGTGTGCGCGCGCGAATACTAGGAGTACGATGTGCGCGCGGACGTGTACATGTGGGTGCGTGCTTTGTGTATATCTGTGTGTGCATGCGTGCTGTGGATGTGCGTGTCTGGTTGTCAAGAACCAGGCTACTGTATGAGAGATTTTGGAGCCTGGACTCCATCCTGCTCAAGAGTTATTATTGGCACCCACCTTGTCCCGGGATGGAAACCCAGGTCAACCCAGGGTCTTAGGTTAACTTATAGATCGCGTCTCCACATTGAAAAGGAAGGCCAGCTCAGGTCATCCACTCAGAAATGCAAACTTTTTGTTTAAATGTTTCGAAAGTGCTTAAATACAAAGTGTTTGGGGCTCACACCATTTTTATTACACTGCCCCCCCCCCAGCCCAGTGCCAAAATTTTGCTGTTGGAGAAAAGGCCTCTCTGACCAAGTGTGGTGCCTTAGATTACACCCTGGGTTTCTTTGGAAGGTAGGAGGGTCAGCCAGGGTCAGTCTGCCTGGTGCCCTTTGCAGCGTCTTTGAGCTCTTGACGGGACAGCCTCTGTGGAGTGGCAGGGGAGACTGTCGGTGAGTGGGGTCCTTTGAGTCCTTTGGGCCTGAGCTTGTGGCTTTTCTTCCCCCGCCTTCCTCTAGGAAGTGGTTGTGGTCCGTGTGTTGGTTTTAATTGCTGTTGAATCGTTTTGGTGGCAGTTCCCCCTAGACTGTGGCTTTCTTTTGACGTGTGGTTCTTGGATTCCATGTTGAGTGTCAGGCAGACAAATGGCGTCCACATGAACAGGAGGAGTGGGGCCCTGGGAAGTGTGGTTGCTGGTAGTAAGCTCGGTCAGCTTCGAGGTACCAGTGAGTTGTCGCTCGCCTGTACTTGTGGCCTGTACTTACGGCCTCCCCTTGCTGTTGGTCCTGTCTCCGTGCTGGCCCCTGATGGTGTGCCTCTGTGAGGGGCTGCGTGGCGTGTGCACCCCACTGTGAAGGCAGTGGAGGAGGGTTCTTCTGGCGGGCAGTGAAGTAAATCTAGAACAGAAATGGCTTTTATAAGAGAGCGTTTCTGTCAAGTAGGAGTCTCCTGGATGGGATGAGGGGTGATCTATTCCTCCTACACACCTCCCCCCTTGGAGGCCTGAGCACTGAACTCACCAGCTTCTGTGACCTCTGCCAGAAAGCTCCCTGTCTCAGCGTCTCCCTGTGGCTCTGCAGCAGGCCTTCCTTGAGGACTGTTCAAGTGACAAGTGTAAGGCCCAGCCATGGTCCCCAGTGCTTCCCTCTCCTCCCCGACTGCCCCGGCTGTTGAGATTCATTTTTACAGAGATGCGCTCTGCGTAAGTTGAATGTTTGTATCTTGCTGTGAGTGTTGATGTTGAGGTTTTTTACGCGGAGTTTTGAAGAGTTGCTTTGGATGGTTTTTTTGGTTCATCTCTGGAAAGTTGGAGAATCCTACTTGAGCTTTGATAATGAAGGTTATAATGATAACTCGGCATTGTTTGCCTGTTTCAAAACAAGTGCGGTTTCTGGTTGTCCCCGTATCCTCCCTGCCCCATGGAACTGCGGTGGCTGTTCCTGCTCCTTCATGACCTGAAGGTTGGAGCCTGGAGTGGGCGGCAGGTGAGGTCAGCCGCCCGGGTCTCCTCCTCTCAGTTCCTCTGCACCTAGCACCCTGAGGAAGGGCCTCTTTGCGTTCTTTCTTGAACTCTGAGCTTAGAGACTGCCTTTTCTTTTAGACATAAAGATTTGGATTGCTTTATAAGTTCTTTGTCTTATATAAATTTTTATTTCTTCTGTGTTTGCCTTGATATTCATTATTTGCAATTTTTTCTCTAAACACTCACTGTTTTTCTTTAAAAATGCTATTGCTTAAAGAACTTCTAGAAGATTAGAAGCAGAGAGCTTTTTTAAAATTAAGTAGATGTTTTACTTTCAGAAAGGAAAATATAACAGTAACAGTGGTGGAGGTAGAGGAAAGTGATCTCACAGCGCTGAGTGTCTGCTAACTGCTACAGGTGGGTGCTTACCATGCAGGACCCTGGGTTTGGACCCACCACTGCTAATTGTTTTTATTTAAATAGCCAGAGATTTGGAAACAGCCTTTGCAGGCCCTCTGGTCAGTGGCGGGTGTGAGTGAGCTCCCGTACTGCAGGCTCACCTCGTGCACTGTGTGGCGCCTGCCTTCAGTGTGGTCGGACTGTGCTGCCATTGCCACTGTGTGGCCTCTGATCATTTGTGTCACCCAGAAGAGACCCTGGTACCCATTCTCCTTTCCCGCTTCCTAGCAGCCACTGGTCGATCACCTTCTTGCTCTCCCATGGAGGTGCCTCCTGGTGATTTATATGAATGGAGTCTTGTGTATTGGCCCATGTGCCGTCACTGAGCGTCACGTCTTCCTTGGCCTTCTGCATGGTGGCCTATGTCAGCTCCTCACTCTGTTTTGTGGCTGAGTTCGTATACACTTTGCTCGTTCCTGAGTGGCTTAGGTGTGGGTTTTCACGAGCTCCGTTTTAGGTGTTTCTCATGGCTGACTCCCTTTGACCTGGCTCCACAAATGGCACACAGCTGTCTTTAGGGAGGGACCTCTTTCTTGGGCTCCATTGCTGCCTGGCAGGTTGCTGGGCAGATGCTGTGCGTGTGGCACTCAGGGAGAGGCGGCGGAGCACACTGCAATGGGTGGAGACCAGGCCTGGGCCTCCTGTGCCCACTGAGCTGCCCCTGCTGCCTCCTGATGCAGATGAGGTGTGCATTTTTAAGATGGTTCTCCAAGTGCAAGGTGCAGGGGTGTTTTGGGGCCAGTGGTCTCCCTTGGGTGTCTGTCCTATTGTATGCTTCTGGAACTGTCTGCTCTGGTTCACATGTGTGCCCAGTGTGGCTCTGTGGGGGTTTTGGATTTACACAGATACTGTGACTAAACCTGCTAATCATCTCCTGTCGAAGGTAATGGAGCTTACACGTGCTGCTTTCGTGAGCTCTTAAAACCTTGCAGCTCAAAGGTGGAGCATTGGACAGTTTGTCCTGTGGCTGTTGTGTGAGGCATAAGGGGCTTCACGGTTTCTCCTTTGGCTCTGAACCCTCTTCTTGCAGCTGCAGGCACCTGGCATTCCACGGGAGTAGATGTCCTGGCAGCAGCTGAGGTTGCCGCGGACAGCTGTGGGGGAGCTGGGACCTGCGGGCACCGTCTCCAGTGTTAACGGGTTCCTTGGGCAGCTGATGTTCTGCCAGTCCCTGACCTTAGGTCTGTCTCCTTGCTCACTGGGGGCTTCCCAGGAGGGGATGCCTTCACAGGTCTAAAGGATTGCCCTGTCTTTAGAGTGAGGCACGGGCCGGAGGCATTTGAGCATCCTGGAGTGCAGCTTTAATTGCTTTCTTGTTGACAGCAAAGCCTGCTCCCATCTTGGAGCTGCAGAGCCCTGCCTCTGCCACACGATGGCTTGGACTGATGGCTTGGACCGTGTGACTGTTTCACTGCTGTCCTTTGCCCTCCCGTAGATTCAGGCCGCTGCCTTCCATGTGAGCTGGCGCGCTCGCCTCCCCCGCAGCAGGCCCGGCTCCTGGTGTGCAGTGTGTTCTGGGTGTTGTGTGTGAGACGGGAAGTTTGCGTCACTTACGTATGATGAGTAATGTGCCACTTGCACAGGGGGCAGATGAGCCCACTGTTGACCTCGGCTTGCTTTGGCCTTGTGTCTGTTGAGTTGAGACTGCGACTCTGTTTTTAGAGAGGAGATAGAGCACGCTAACTACTCGTTTTCGTACCCCCTGTTGGTGGGGTCAGGTTAGAAACAGACCTTGCCCGGGCACTCTTTCTGGTGGTGGCCTCGCAGGGGATGAGGAACTGTGGCCGAGGCTGTGAGTCAGATCTCGGGAGGAGGCTGGCTTTGGACTTCAGCCTTAACTTGGACAGTTTGGAGATCACTTTTACCCAGGTGGACTTTCCCCTGGTCTCTGCAGATGTCTTGGTTGTGGAGAGACCCGACCCTTTGTAGAAACACTGATATTGAAAGTGGAGGGGTGCTCAAAAGCTACTAAAACAGGCAGATTGTTAGCAGTCTCCATCTTGTGCTGGTCAGGAGGTCTGCGGCTACCTGAGGTGGGGCAGGACCAAGGCAAGAGAGTACCTTCAAGTAGTCAGTCCTTTGACAGCTGTGGGTAGTACGGTGGGCAGGATTGGGCTAGAATGTGGTGCCCCCGGGGTTGCCAGGGACGGAGGGGCTGGGGTGGCATGCTCCTGCCCCTGCCCACCCACCTGTCGTCCTTCTCCAGGCTCCTAGGAAACCCTGCCTGTGAAATGCCTCTCGTCCTCTTTGCTATTCCTTATCTAAGTCTAGTCCTTACCTCGCCTCTGTTTTGCTCCATTCCTGTTTCCTCAGGGACATTGCGGGGTCAGGTGTCCAAACTTGCCATTTCCTGTTTCCCTCCTCCTCCCCCTCAGCAACCTTTGACCGCTGCTGTTTTTCTGCTTGGCCCATAAATGTGTTCCTGG